GAAATAAAATGTAGTCAGGACGAAATTAAAGGTGCTGTAACTGAGATGCAGTCTTGAATAGATGCCATGACAGCAAGGATGGGCAAAGCAGAGCAGGGAGTCAATGATTTAGAAGATAAAATTATGGAAAATAATGAAGCAGAAAAAAGAGGGAAACAAAGGCAAAAGATCATGATACAAGACGTAGAGAACTCAGTGACTTATTAAAAAGGAATGACGTCTGAATCATATGAGTCCCAGAAGATGAAGAGAGAGAGAAAAAGGGGCAGAAGGTTTATGTGAGCAATGTTTATGTAAGAAAACGTTCCAAATCTGGGGAAGGACAGAGATATTAAAATCCAAGAAGCACAGAGAACTCATTTGGTTCAACAAAAACCGGCCATCACCAAGGCATAGCATAGTCAAACTCACAAAATACACAGACAAGGAAAGAATTATGAAAGCAACAAGGGGGAAAAAAGTCCTTAACTTATAAGGGAAGACAGATCAGGTTCACAGTAGTCCTATCCACAGAAACTTGGCAGGCCAGAAAGGAGCGGCAAGATATATTCAACATACTGAATTGGAAAAATAAGCAGCCAAGAATTCTTTATCCAGCAAGAAGGAGAGATTCAAAATAGAAGGAGAGATAGGGAGTTTTCCAGACAAAGAAAAACTAAAGGAGTTCATAACCACCAAACCAGACCTCCAAAAAACAAAACTCATCTATATGCTGCTTACAAGAGACTCATTTTAGACCTAAAGATACCTGCAGATAAAAGTGAGTGGATGGAGAACCATGTATCATGCTAATGGTTATCAAAAGAAAGCTGGAGTAGCTATGCTTATATCGGACAAACTAGATTTTAAAATGAAGACTATAACAAAAGATGAAGAAAGGTGTCATATCATAATTAAGGGGTCTACCCACCAAGATGATCTAACAATTGTAAATATTTATGCCCCCAACGTGAAGCACCCAAATATATAAATCAATTAATCACAAACATAAACTCATTGATTATAATACCATAATAGTAGGGGACTTCAACACCCCAATTACAGCAATTGACAGAGTATCGAAGAAGAAAATCAACGGCTTTGAATGACACACTGGATCAGATGGACTTAACGGATATATTCAGAACATTTCATCCTAAAGCAGCAGAATTCACATTCTTCTCGAGTGCACATGGAACATTCTCCAGAATAGATCCATACTGGGACACAAATCAGCCCTCAACAAGTACAAAAAGATCGAGATCATACCATGCATGTTTTCAGACCACAGTGCTAGGAAACTCAAAATCAACCACGATAAACAATTTGGAAAGACCATGAATACTTGGAGATAAAAAAAAAAATCATACTGAAGAATGAATGGGTTAATCAAGAAATTAAAGAGGAAATTAAAAAGTACATGGAAGCCAATGAAAATGAAAACACAACAGCCCCAAACCTCTGGGATGTAGCAAAGGCGGTCGTAAGAGGGAAGTATATAGTAACCCAGGCCTTCTTAAACAAGGAAGAAAGGTCTCAAATACACAACCCAATCTTACACCTAAAAGAGCTGGAAAAAGAACAGCAAATAGAGCCCCAAACCAGCAGACAAAGGGAAATAATAAAAAATTAGAGCAGAAGTCAATGATACATATAAAAACCAAACCAAACCAAACAAAAAACAGTAGAACAGATCAATGAAAGCAGGAGCTGGTTCTTTGAAAGACTTAACAAAATTGATAAACCCCTAGTCAGATTGATTAAAAAGAAAAGAGAAAGGACCCAAATAAATAAAATCACGAATAAAAGAGGAGAGATCACAACCAACACAGCAGAAATACAAACAATAGTAAGAGAATATGATGAACAATTATATGCCAACAAATTGGGCAATCTGGAAGAAATGGACAGATTCCTAGAAACATATAACCTACCAAAACTGAAACAGGAAGAGATAGAAAATTTGAACAGACCCATAACCAGTAAAGAAATTAAATCAGTAATC